GGTGTGGAGAAGGATACGCACACACCAAAAGGCCGAAAGTGACCCCCGTCTCCACCGACAGGCCGACCGTGACACCCCCCCCCGGGCCGCTCCACCACCAGCCGGCTGACGAGGACAGTGGTACTGTTGTTACGGTGAGACGGTAGAGGATTTATGGCCACGTCATTTCAATCTGATAGGTGCCTCTTTAGGGATATTGATGGATTGGGCCTGGACCTGTAACCGGGGCCCTGGTTGTGTGTGTGTTTGTCATAAATCACAGTCACTTGGGTGCTTGGAGTTGTCATAAATCATGTTCGTAAGTGGGTTAGTTGGGGGAGGGGGCCTTTGGAAAAAGGGGTGAGGTGGTGGTTGATTCAACATTCATAAAAATATATTTTTAAAAAAAAAGGAGAAAAAAAAGACAAACAAAAGAAGATTTAATTTCTATTTAACAACTAGATTGATTGACTGGACGGCCTAATGGATTGATTGACTGGTCGGCCTAATGGATTGATTGACTGGACGGCCTAATGGATTGATTGACTGGACGGCCTAATGGATTGATTGACTGGACGGCCTAATGGATTGATTGACTGGACGGCCTAATGGATTGATTGACTGGACGGCCTAATGGATTGATTGACTGGACGGCCTAATGGATTGATGAAAAGTTTTCAATAAACAAACATTCTAAAATATTTTCTAAGTGAACGTAATAAGTTTCGGATTAAGTAATATTTGATCACAATTTTATCACGGACTATATTTTCTGCAGTATTTACCAGCCATGAATATATAAAATTGTATTAATTTCTGTAAATTTTGAACTTTGGAAACAAAGGTCATGGACCCCTAAATTCATAAATCCCTACAGACATGAGATAAAGAAGTCAATGACCCTTTAAGACATGGAACCCAAACAGTGGCGCAGGAACAAGGGCTAGGGGCGAGCCGGAGTGTCACTCTTTACTTAATATAGAAGGCCGGCATTTTCGGACCACTGCATGATTTATTTCGTGAAAGTGTCGTATGGGGAGGGCTGGGTTCAAGTTGATACTATAAGAAATCTAGCACTCAGGGCAGGGGGAAAGCTGAAAGCGTGGAAAGGGGGCGGCAAAACTCTCGGCCTGCCCAGGGCGGCACTTAACCCAGCTGCGCCACTGGACCCACGCTGTGTCTTGTCATTGCATGAGAGAAGGGTATAGTTTACACCTGGAGCATCAAGGACAGACGACTCAAGCTGATTCACCAACTTCAGACCAGTAGAGGTATCATATGGGGGTCGAATGGATTTGTGTCTATGTGGGGGGGGGGAGTACGAAACAAAACAACGAACAAGCAGCCTTCTTCAGTAAACAAACAACAGTAAAAACAATTTTTTAAAATGATAAACTTAAAACTGCAATGAAGTATCCGAGCGTGGGGGAGGTAAAAATGAAGGGCAATAACTGTGCGCGGACCTAGACTATCGTCTAAACAAGGGCTGGTGCCGTGAAGATTATCGAAATAAATGAAACGGTCTTGTAGAAATCGACCTTAGACAGTATATTTAAATAACTGATTTAATGGTCGACTTTCTTAAATAGACTAATCAGTGGCGTAGCTAGGTTTAGTGCAGCCCGGAGAGGGCGTAATTTTGCCGCCCCATTCCACTTCACAAAAACTCTGCAGCTGGTCGAAAATGCCAAACCTCCATTGCCAACCCTCCAATGCCAACCCTCCAATGCAAACCCTCCAATGCCAACCCTCCATTGCCAACCCTCTATTGAAAGGAAAAAAAAAGGTGCCCGCCGGCCCACCGCGGGGCCCCTCCCCCCCCTTCCCTACGCCGCTGAGACAAACGTCCCCATTTCAAAGCAAGTATCGTCAAATGGTTGACTGAATATGGCTGTGCGGTCAAGCGTGTCAACAACAAGACATGGCACACAGAACTTTGTTTAACCTCCAGCAACAGGCGAGACAAGCCAAAACGAGTGGATGGGATTCTTTCCCTTGGGATTATGACTCATATCCAAGGGAAGGAATCTTTAAAATTAAACCTCCGCCACCTTGGGGTTACGCCACGAACCGATGGTCAAAATCCGGGTACGTGCCGATTGCTTGGATCTGGGGTTTAGGGGTGCTGAGACACGTGTAAAGGGTATTGATTGGTGTTTTAGGGGTGCTGAGACATGTGTAAAGGGTATTGATGTGTGTTTTAGGGGTGCTGAGACACATGTAAAGGGTATTGATTTGTGTTTTAAGGGTGCTGAGACACGTGTAAAGGGTATTGATTTGTGTTTTAGGGGTGCTGAAACACGTGTAAAGGGAATTGATTGGTGTTTTAGGGCGCCGAGACACGTGTAAAGGGTATTGATTGGTGTTTTAGGGTGCTGAGACACGTGTAAAGGGTATTGATTGGTTTTTAGGGTGCCGAGACACTTGTAAAGGGTATTGATTGGTGTTTTAGGGTGCTGAGACACGTGTAAAGGGTATTGATTGGTGTTTTAGGGTGCTGAGACACGTGTAAAGGGTATTGATTGGTTTTTAGGGTGCCGAGACACGTGTAAAGGGTATTGATTGGTATTTTAGGACGCTGAGACAAAGCGTATCGGTTGGTGTTTCTTCTTATTTTTTAAAAATCATATTTATTTTTGTAATTTTCCTATTAGGATCAGCTAATTGCGGCCATCTTCTTGTACTCTAAATTTTCTATTGAGTTTTCGGGACATTTCAATTACTCGACTTTCTAGTTAACACTTTATTTTGATGTTTCACTCCTCTGTGGGGGTGGGGGGGGGCAGTGTGTACACTGGTAACAATAAATGGAGTTGTTATTATTTTTCCGGTGGAAAAGGGGGGGGGGGGGNCTGAGCGAGCCCTGGCTCCACCACTCCCCCCCACCATTGTGATTGTGACGCTCTGAGCGAGCCCTGGCTCCACCACTCCCCCCCACCATTGTGATTGTGACGCTCTGAGCGAGCCCTGGCTCCACCACTCCCCCCCACCATTGTGATTGTGACGCTCTGAGCGAGCCCTGGCTCCACCACTCCCCCCCACCATTGTGATTGTGACGCTCTGAGCGAGCCCTGGCTCCACCACTCCCCCCCACCATTGTGATTGTGACGCTCTGAGCGAGCCCTGGCTCCACCACTCCCCCCCACCATTGTGATTGTGACGCTCTGAGCGAGCCCTGGCTCCACCACTCCCCCCCACCATTGTGATTGTGACGCTCTGAGCGAGCCCTGGCTCCACCACTCCCCCCCACCATTGTGATTGTGACGCTCTGAGCGAGCCCTGGCTCCACCACTCCCCCCCACCATTGTGATTGTGACGCTCTGAGCGAGCCCTGGCTCCACCACTCCCCCCCACCATTGTGATTGTGACGCTCTGAGCGAGCCCTGGCTCCACCACTCCCCCCCACCATTGTGATTGTGACGCTCTGAGCGAGCCCTTGCTCCACCCCCCCCCGCCACCATTGTGATTGTGACGCTCTGAGCGAGCCCTTGCTCCACCACTCCCCCCCCCAAATATATATATATACATATAAAAATACCACCCTACATAAACTAAATAACTCATTTCATTTGTTGCGGATTGCCGGCATGGTTAGCTTCAGTTCACGCAATCAAATTTTCGATCATGCATTTAATGCAATTTTTGTATGAAGCCTTGTCACAGCTTTCAAATTACTATAATTTGATCCAATTCCCAGTTTTGTCCACAAAAAACAAAGAAACCACGCACAAAATAGTGCGTTCATTGACAAATTTGACGCGAAATTTGAAGGTCTAATGTGATCGAGTGTACTGACGCTTAGTCATCATACGACACTATTATATATCAAATTGAAGGCAGTGAAATTGCATGTCTTTATAATTAAGTCTTGAATTGTCTCAAGTCTAACAATATAAAACGGCACTTCTATTGCTATTCGAAATTAGCGCTTGGTGATTTACGATTTGTTGCTGGCATCCGTCCGTCACAATGTGACGATGGTTGTAGACTTGTCCGTCACAATGTGACGATGGTTGTATACTTGTCCGTCACAATGTGACGATGGTTGTTGACTTGTCCGTCACAATGTGACGATGGTTGTAGACTTGTCCGTCACAATGTGAAGATGGTTGTAGACTTGTCCGTCACAATGTGACGATGGTTGTAGACTTGTCCGTCACAATGTGACGATGGTTGTAGACTTGTCCGTCACAATGTGACGATGGTTGTAGACTTGTCCGTCACAATGTGACGATGGTTGTAGACTTGTCCGTCACAATGTGACGATGGTTGTAGACTTCGCAGGACGAAATCCACAAGGCCTGGGATTTTTCTTTTTTTCTTCTTTTCTTTTAAAGGATTATAAGCTGGTTCCCTATACTGCGAATCATCCCTCTTCACGCCGCTGGATAACCCAAGGGAACATCATACGTGGATGGTACAGCTTGGAACCATTGGCGTCGCAGGAGGAGTCTGAATGTTTCATTGTTCCAATGGTATCCGCCTAGGAGACTCCATCTCCGGTTTTGAATTCAGAGTTTCCTTCTCTTAGATGAGTTGCCATCCAAGGTCACCGAGTCCCATCCACCCCGGGGTGCTGGTCAATGTTTTTGTGATGGTTTACGATTCTACCCTGACTTTATCTCCTAACTAAATTGGCCTAAGCGGGGTCTCAGCGACATTGGTGTAGCTAGGGTTAGTGCCACCAGGGGCGGACTAAAAAAAAAAATTTTGCCACCCCTTTCCCACTTTTTCCCACGAAAAAACTCAGTAGTTGGCAGAAAATGCCGCCCCTCCATATTTAAATAGAAAAAAGTTCCACCCGGGGCGGACCGCCCACTCCGCACTACTCTCCCTACGCGCCAGCTCAGCGGCCATGGAAATATTTTTAACAGCAACACACGTCGCTTCTAAGCGCGAGCTGGGTGCATGCGAAACGACGAGTCTGATCGGATCGTAGCATTGGTTACATCCCTTTGCTACCGCGAAAGCTTTCCGTCGCTCGCATGATAAAAATATCGCCGCGTCTTCGTTCCGGCGAGGCTCGCGCGACTAGGCGTGTTCGCGTCAAGCGGCGGGGCCCCTCTTCGGGGAACCCAAAATAAAAAGTGGGACGTGACACAGTGTGTCGCTCTGACCAGCGCGTTCGTCTTTTTTTTTTTATTGCGGCTAATATTTAATTTCTGGGGATGTTTGAAGAAACGGTGGTTAATAAAAATGTGAACGCCGAGCTTCTGATCTCGGCCGTCGAGGAGCGCCCCGTTCTATGGGACAGCAGCCTGAAGTTGTACAAGTGCAGGATCTCAACGGCCAAAGCATGGGACGAGGTGTGCACAATAATGAATCCCGACTTTCAGGAAATGGACGAAAGGGCTAGGAGTGAATACGGTAAGACCGCGTGATGACGTAATGATACGGTAATGTCTAGTCTTATTTAAATATTACATATACTATAAAACTGGGTTTACGCCAAGGCCAACTGGTTACGGAGAGGGGGCCAACTTCAAGGGGGCGCCAAATTTCCATAGAGAGAACCTTTATCAATTGTGAATTAAATGATAGAAAAATAATTATTATCATGCACGGTATTTGGCCGTACTCATCGGGACTTACAAAGTGAAGGGGTGCCAAATTCGTCATTTTACAAGGCCTACCATGGGCGGCAGTTTTTTCTATAGGATGAGGGGGTCCTGATTTCAGGCATCGCCTTTTTTTTCTGTTAAAAAAATTAAACCTTTAATGTGTGGATATTACGTTTACGGACAGACAGACTATACAATATAATGTATAGAGAGGACAGATAGGCTATCGGCTATACAACATAATATATAGAGAGGTTCAACGTTGGCGACTGCCGTTAAAACGAATGAATGTATGGCAATCAAAGTCTATGTAGTATATGATAAGTATGACTTTGGGATGATTACTTGGGCGTCGTAGTGCAGCTCACATGCCCCATCTGTCTCGGCACCAGCAATGCATTGTGGCATGTAATGATCTCAATGTGATAGTTGTTGTGCACCCATATGTTGAAAATAGCATCGTTAAAAACCCCATCTGGCAAGATATACGAAAGGGAATTAAACTATTAATTATGATATGATTACTAATAAATGCAAGGATCTACAGTTGACAGTCTGGCTCAGTGGCGTAGCAACGGGGGGGGGGGGGGGTGGGGGTGGCGGGGGGTGCTGGGGAGGGGGCGTATGAACGTAAAAAAGTTTCAACTAGGACTAGAGTCTATTATCAAGGGCGGTATTAGAGAGATATTTTATTTTGATGACGTGGTGTGACATGAAATAACAAGCTCATTGCAGCCCTGTGACAGATGGAATAATATTCTGGTACACAAAAAACAACAAAGTTGAAGTTGTTCGCTTTGAGCCTTCCTCCAGGCACAAATATTTTATTTAAAAATGTGCTTTAGCTTTCCTGGGTGCACAAACATTCATTAAAAAAGGCTTTAAGAGATTTGTTGTTGTTAAAATGAGAAATACAACTTCTTGTACCCTGGAAAAGAGGAAATTTTATACAGATTTATTGTAAAAAATATATATTTTTTAAGCAGCTATTGTGCTCTTATGCATATAATTGTAAGTAAAGTTTATTATTAGTCAGATTCAATAAATCTCTTATTAATATTTAAATGATCCTCTCAATTAATTATTTTTTTAAATGTCGCTCCTTGAGATTTGTTGCACACAAAAAAATACATAGTTTTGTTTGGTCATATAGTTCATCCACCACTGCAACTATGACAGTTTCTCATTTGGTCATATAGTTCATCCACCACTGCAACTATGACAGTTTCTCATTTGGTCATATAGTTCATCCACCACTGCAACTATGACAGTTTCTCATTTGGTCATATAGTTCATCCACCACTGCAACTATGACAGTTTCTCATTTGGTCATATAGTTCATCCACCACTGCAACTATGACAGTTTCTCATTTGGTCATATAGTTCATCCACCACTGCAACTATGACAGTTTCTCATTTGGTCATATAGTTCATCCACCACTGCAACTATGACAGTTTCTCATTTGGTCATATAGTTCATCCACCACTGCAACTATGACAGTTTCTCATTTGGTCATATAGTTCATCCACCACTGCAACTATGACAGTTTCTCATTTGGTCATATAGTTCATCCACCACTGCAACTATGACAGTTTCTCATTTGGTCATATAGTTCATCCACCACTGCAACTATGACAGTTTCTCATTTGGTCATATAGTTCATCCACCACTGCAACTATGACAGTTTCTCATTTGGTCATATAGTTCATCCACCACTGCAACTATGACAGTTTCTCATTTGGTCATATAGTTCATCCACCACTGCAACTATGACAGTTTCTCATTTGGTCATATAGTTCATCCACCACTGCAACTATGACAGTTTCTCATTTGGTCATATAGTTCATCCACCACTGCAACTATGACAGTTTCTCATTTGGTCATATAGTTCATCCACCACTGCAACTATGACAGTTTCTCATTTGGTCATATAGTTCATCCACCACTGCAACTATGACAGTTTCTCATTTGGTCATATAGTTCATCCACCACTGCAACTATGACAGTTTCTCATTTGGTCATATAGTTCATCCACCACTGCAACTATGACAGTTTCTCATTTGATCATATAGTTCATCCACCACTGCAACTATGACAGTTTCTCATTTGATCATATAGTTCATCCACCACTGCAACTATGACAGTTTCTCATTTGGTCATATAGTTCATCCACCACTGCAACTATGACAGTTTCTCATTTGATCATATAGTTCATCCACCACTGCAACTATGACAGTTTCTTATTTGGTCATATAGTTCATCCACCACTGCAACTATGACAGTTTCTCATTTGATCATATAGTTCATCCACCACTGCAACTATGACGGGTTCATTTGGTCATATAGTTCATCCACCACTGCAGCTATGACAGTTTCTCATTTGGTCATATAGTTCACCCACCACTGCAACTATGACAGTTTCTCATTTGGTCATATAGTTCATCCACCACTGCAACTATGACGGTTTCATTTGGTCATATAGTTCATCCACCACTGCAACTATGACAGTTTCATTTGATCATATAGTTCATCCACCACTGCAACTATGACAGTTTCTCATTTGGTCATATAGTTCATCCACCACTGCAACTATGACAGTTTCATTTGATCATATAGTTCATCCACCACTGCAACTATGACGGGTTCATTTGGTCATATAGTTCATCCACCACTGCAACTATGACAGTTTCATTTGATCATATAGTTTATCCACCACTGCAACTATGATGGGTTCATTTGATCATATAGTTCACCCACCACTGCAACTATGACAGTTTCTCATTTGATCATATAGTTCATCCACCACTGCAACTATGACAGTTTCATTTGATCATATAGTTCATCCACCACTGCAGCTATCACAGTTTCATTTGATCATATAGTTCATCCACCACTGCAACTATGACAGTTTATCATTTGGTCATATAGTTCATCCACCACTGCAACTATGACAGTTTCTCATTTATCATATAGTTCATCCAACACTGCAACTATGACGGTTTCATTTGGTAATATAGTTCATCCACCACTGCAACTATGATGTTGAAATATATAATGTGTTTACAATGTAATCTTTCCTTGGTATGATGAAGCATGATTAGATTGAGGTCCTTGAGGCTCTGGTCACAGACAACATAGGGACACATAGATGTTCTTGCATTGTCCTTGGATTGAGATACCGGTAGTGATAGTTCGTAGTAATGGGCTGGGGCCCCTTAAGCCCTTGGCCTAAAGGATCCAACATTGAGTACGATGCGAGAAATAAAGAAGACAAAAGTAAACATGGAAAAAATACCCCTTCTACTTCTATGTTTATCATTTATTTTATTTTATGCTTATAAGCCAAAGCCCGCTTCTTTAGTCATTCGGTCTTGATTTCAATATGAAAGTTTAGGTGCCTTCAGAGCCAGAACTCACTTGATGCCCCTGGTCAGCAGTGCCAAAGTGTCCTCGTTTTATAGCCATTTTAATTGTTTCTATAGTATAGTAGTTACTATCCTAGTGTCTCATTTTTATTTTACTTAGTTTACATGTTTTTCATAATTGTAAAGCGCTTAGAGCTTTAAGGTAAGCGCTATATAAAAAATGCCTAAATAAATAAATATATATATTTATTTATTTATGTATATACGTGTATATTTATTTATATTTATTTATATTTAATAGCTCCTACTTTCATGAACTGAGCAATTGAAAGATAAATTTGCAATAATATCTTAAATAGTATGGCATTCTGCCGTTGACATTGGCTCAAGTCATTTATGCCAGTTATGCGATATACTCTCAGTTGATCTCTTAGTTTTAGTTACATGAAGACAAAATAATTTCTTTTCTAATGTCTTTTCAGTGGCATTAATAATGAAGAAATGGAAGAACACCAGAGATACGTGGACGAGGGTTCTAAAAAGAACAAGGTCTGGCTCAAAAGCTGGGAAGACTTTTGCTTACCAAGAACAAATGCGTTTCCTGCAGAAAGTCACAAAACCTCAAGCAAGTGATTCAGTTTTCAACTTCCAGCTGCCAGAAGAAAAGCCTAGCACAATTTCTAGTGACTTTTCTAACAGTGAGTTGAACTGTCCTGGAACAGGGTCTACTGACTTTTCTAACGTGAATGGATGCAACAAGAGTGATCCCAAAGAAATAATGACAATATCACGGAAACAGTCTAAAGTATTGCAATCACACACGGATAAACTTTCTCTAGACATTGCTGAAACTTTGCCGGCAAAGGACGGCAGGCACCTGTCATTTTTCAAAGGGATCATTCCATCCCTAGACCCCCTCGATGAGGAAGGGATCCTGGAATTTCAAGCCGGGGTCATCAGTCTTTTACAAAATGTCAGAAAGAGACGTGCCCTGCTGCTTGAGCCATCCTCAAACTACTCATTTAAAAGATGCCACCAGATTCACTATTGACCATTACCAGATTCACTATTGACCGTTACTAGATATCAAGGCTGTTTTCATGTTCATCTTAATACCGTTACTCATACAGTAATCGTACTATGCAGTACTGGTACTGTACTTAGCCATTATTTTTATTTGAGCCTACTCCATATCAATGATTTGGGCAATATCTGATGGACCATCTACCACATTTCAGTACCATCTACCACATTACAACGTTTCCAGTTGGCTTAGATTTGATCACTTTTGAAGAAGCAATGAAATTTTTCAATAGTTCATCTTGTCTCAGGAATCTAATATTTAGTATTTGTTTCTGCTACAAATCTTATTGTTGTCTATTAAAAAATAAAAATAAATCATTTTTTGTCTTTTATTAACTTTTAATTTTAGAAAATTATAATATAAATAGCCATTCTAGATTTTATACTTCTTAGAGCATTTTTTTAAATTAGTAATTTTAAGTTAAAGTCTGCACATTTTCAGCTCAATTTGAGATTAGAAAGGGTTCAAAATTAATATGCAATATTTGACCCACAGAGATCACTTGAGGGTCAGGGGAGGTCATTGGGGGAGTGGGGTAGTAATGTACCTCTATACAAAGTTTCAGCACAAATGGACTTAAGTAACCGGGACAAAGTTGAGCCGAACAGACAAAATCGCAAGCTAATTAAAACTTGTAATAAAATATATTTAAGTTTCTTCTGTATTTAATTTGTCCTCATAGAGTGCCTTACAAACCATTTGAATAAGATTTCTTTGCGGAATGCATTTTAAGAAATTTTAAATTGTTTTATACTTTTTGGTGCGAATGGTCTTTCCCCCCCCCCCCCCCCTTTTTAATTTTTTGGGGGGAATGTGTTTTCCCCCCCCCCCCCCGGTACCTATTTATAACCTAAACACAGGGGACCTTTAGAGTCATTTAAATTTATTAGAAAAAAAATTTTGCTTTTTCGTCACCGAAATAAGGTCAACTAGAATTTAAGAACTTAAAATAAATTTGAAGAAAAGTCTTGAAGAAGGAGTTGAAATTCATCTAGAAGATTGCGATTATGATTTTTGTTGTTTTTCACTTGTATCAGTATTATTATTTATTTATTTTTTGCAAATTTACTCATTTAAAGACTTTGCACGTTCCATCAATTATTTTTGAATCAAAAGCGTTTGTGTTTTCTTTAAATGTGCTACTTTTGTAACAAAGTTTCCTGAATAATAGACTTTTTAAAAAAATCATTCTTAGACAATATTTATTAAATTCTCAACTGATTCTCTTTTTTTTTAAATACAAAATAATAAACAATCTGAATCTGTCCCAACTATTTGCACCCATTTTGTTTTAAATTTACTTTTTTTTTTTTAAAGCGTTCAACTTCAACGTGTAAAATGATGTCAGCATTGCTTTTTTGTGATGGAAAACTTGTTTTTGTTTGTTATTGATTTTTTTTTTAAAATGGATTAAAGTGGTTAACCCCAAAATTTCTTTCAATAACAGCCTCATGACTACTTAGTCATCAATACAAGATATTTGTATGACCCAACAGGTCAACAACTTTGGTGCTGATAGATACACTGCCTGGTGTTAGTGCCACCCTTGCCTGGTGTTAGTGCCACGCTGCCTGGTGTTAGTCCCACACTGCCTGGTGTTAGTGCCACACTGCCTGGTGTTAGTGCCACCCTGGCTGGTGTTGGTGCCACCCTGCCTGGTGTTAGTGCCACCCAGCCTGGTGTTAGTGCAACACTGCCTGGTGTTAGTGCCACCCTACCTGGTGTTAGTCCCACCCTGGCTGGTGTTAGTGCCACCCTGCCTGGTGTTAGTGGCACCCTGGCTGGTGTTAGTGTCACACTGCCTGGTGTTAGTGCCACCCTGCCTGATGTTAGTGCCACACTGCCTGGTGTTAGTGCCACCCTGGCTGGTGTTAGTGCCACCCTGCCTGGTGTTAGTGCCACCCTGCCTGGTGTTAGTGCCACCCTGGCTGGTGTTAGTGCCACCCTGGTTGGTGTTAGTGCCACACTGCCTGGTGTTAGTGCCACCCCATGTTGGCCAAGGTTTATGCCACGCTCAATTTAACTCTACAATACAAACTCTGCAGTTGACATAAAATTCCGCCCCTACATATAAAAATAAGGACGGAGTATTCCACCTGCACCTTGCAGAGGCGCCAGGGGATATGATTCATTTTTAACACACAAAACACCCCCCCCCTCCTCTTCTGAAAAACATTTTTTTTCATTCACAAAATACAGCCACACCCCTTTTGTGCGACCCCGCTAGTTTGGCGCAAGTAGACATCTGTCGCCCACTCCCCCCTTAGCTACGCCATTGGCACCAACCCCCCCCCCTAATCTGAAGAACATTTTTTTTCATTCACAAAATACTGCCACTCCCCTTTTGTGCGACCCCTCGACTTAGGCGCAAATAGACATCTGTCGCCCGCCCCCCCCTTAGCTACGCCATTGGCACCAACCCCCCCCCCTAAGGAATTATGCTATAATTCTGAAAAGAATTATTTATTTCTTTTACTGACAGACTTCTGCGCGACAAATGAGCTCGTTATTAGGGGCAGTGCATTCTAGCACGGTGTTCAACGTGGGGCTCATGCCCCACGGGGGGCAATTTGATTTTTAGGGGGGGGGCAGTTGGAAAATGAGCTGCCTATTATTTGAAAACTGTCTACTATGATTCAATTTGTACTTTGAAAAGAGCACCATTAAAGTCTCTATTTATTAATCATACTGCAACTGTCAATCATTCTCTTGAGGCTAGTTATGAAATTTCCTAAATCTGGGGGGGGGGGGGGGAATCATACCACAGGAGAGAATTTCATCAAACCATCAATAGCAGCATTTCTTAACACGGTTCTGGAAAAAAATATGACAAAGACATGAAAGCTGTGCCACGCAGTATCACTACTGTTAGCAGAAGAATACGCGAAATGAGTGAAGATATGGAAATACAACTTTTTGAAAGGCTGAAAACAAAATGATCAATGCAAATGGACGACTCAGCTTTGAGAGACAGTCAGGCTGTATTGATAGCTTTACGTAAGATACATTGGTAAAGCGTATTTTGCTGAAGGAAAGTTGTTCGTAAATCATTAGAAATCACTACTACCACAAAGGCAAAATATAGGCAAAGTCACCCCATTTCACGGTACCACAAAAGATGTACATATTTAATACCGGTAAGCTAAAACATTACTTCGATGTCAATAAGTTACAAATGAAAAATATAACAGCTTGTGCTGCAGATGGTACTCCTAATATGATGGGCAAGGGAAATGGTTGCTCAAAATTGATGAAAGATGAGAATCCAGAAACGCTACTTGTGCATTCAGTTATTCATATGGAAAACTTATTAGTTAAAAACATTTCGCGCGTGCTAGATGAAGCACTAAATTCAGGTATAAAGTGTGTCAATACTAGTAAAGCAAATGCCAAATGTGAACGTCTTCTCAAGCTTTTTTTTTATGAATAGCAAAATGCAGACTTTGTGACACTCTTATCTCACACTGAAGTAAGATGGCTTTCGAAAGGGAATTGCGTGAAAAGATTTATGGAACTATTTGATACGCTTGCGATTATTAAAAGTGACAAACCTGAAATGAATTATCTGTTAACGGTCAATGATAAAGCATTTGTGAGTTATTTAGCCAATATCTTTGAAAAGCTAAAAATATTACGTAACCAACTTCAAGGAACAAATAAAACTCTTGTCGATGCAAAAGTGAAGATATTTGGTTTATACCTTAATTGAATTATGTCAGAAAAATCTTTTCAACCAAAATTTTGACGTCTCATTGCCTCAAAAAAATGTGAAATGAATGATACCGGTATACTTGTCATTGTCGATCATCTGAAAACTCTATCGGCTGAATTAAAAGAAAGATTTTCTGATTTGAAACACACCGATTCTCCAACTTGGATGATGCAGACATTGTTAGAGGATTTTTCTGATATTTCAACTATGCAGTATCAAGAAGAACTCGCAGAAATGCGGACTGATGAGTCAGCTAAAACTTTATTTAATCTAAAAGGAGAGATGGTGTGGCTTTGTGGGGAAACAGAAATCAAGATTCCAAATTCAACCAAATGTGCAAGAAAACTTGTGTTACTGTTTATATCTTCATATTTAGCTGAATGTGGATTTACTTACTATGTTTCCTCACCAACATCCAAGTGATTTCTTCCCAAAACCTATCATTTAAGTTTCTTCAGTGAACAACCCTATTTTTTAATATTAAAAACTGTGTTTATGATACATTGGGGGGGGGGCATACGAAATTTAGATAGGCTTAGGTGGGGTATGGCACAAAAAAGGTTGAGAAACACTGTTCTAGCATAAGAAATTTCACAAGGTAACTTGGGTGTCCCCTGATATCAGAACAGAAAACGAATTAACTATGTATGCATTAGAAAAAAAAATCAGAAGGTCTCGACAAGATTCACGCGCTAAAAGATGAGTTGATGTTGCATCTGATCACCATATGTTTGGGCAAGACTCAAGCTAAAACAGGAGAAGAAAAGGAAAGATCCAGTTGCTAGACGACTAACATACAACATAGCGCTTCCGGCAAATGAGCAAAAATCACAGGAATTGTGTGCCACCGTACTAATAGTATTTATTTATTTATTTATTTAGGCATTTTTATATAGCGCTTATCATAAAGCTCTAAGCGCTTTACAATTATTAAAACAAGTAAACTAAGTAAATACAAATGAGACACTAGGATAGTAACTACTATTCTATAGAAACAATGAAAATGGCTATAAAAAGAGGACACTTTGACACTTCAGGATTAAACCGAAACAGAAAATTAGGTAGGGCAAGGAGGGTGCATCACAGGTCATAGGCGGACCTAAACAGATGAGTTTTAAGGGACTTTTTGAAAATGGACGAGGTTTCACTATGACGTATATGGAAGGGGAGCTGGTTCCAGAACGTGGGCCCATGGAAGCAGAAGGAGCGTTCACCGATGGTCTTAGTTTTAGTTCTTGGGATTGAGAGGGTTCTACTGTCAATGGAAGAACGTAGTTGTCTTGTGGGGATGTATGGAAGCAACAGTTCAGAGAGATAGACAGGAAAGTGAGGGTCAGTGAACGAGTTGAAGCAAAGATTGGAAGACTTGTATTTGATGCGAGAGGATATTGGAAGCCAGTGGAGTTGCCGCATGTGTGGTTGAATGTGGTCATGTTTCTTTAATTTAAAAATGAGTCTGCATGCTGAGTTCTGTGCCTTCTGAAGTTTGTCTATGTGGTGTTGAGGAATGCCTGCGAGAAGAGTGTTACAGTAGTCAAATTTTGAAAGAATGAGTGAAGAGACGAGAGTTTTTGTGGCATCAAAGGAGAGGAGGTGTCTAATGGTGCTGATTTTTCTAATTTCGTTATATGCTGATCTGCATATATTCGTGACATGTTTGTCCATGGAGAGGGTGTCCGTAAGCGTGACTCCAAGGTTTCTGGCAGAGGGAGAGAGTGTGATGTCAGAGTTGCCAATAGATATAGAAGAAGGAGCGAATGGAGGGAGAGGTTTGTTTTGAGAGTGGATGAGAAGGATTTCCGTTTTATCATCATTTAGCTTCAGTTTGTTGCAAGTCATCCAACGCTTTACATCGTCCACGCACTCCTGTATGCGAAGGATTGTGGCATCAAGTTGATCAGGAAAGCAAGAGTCACTGATTTGAGTGTCATCAGCAAAGGATTGACTGGAAACTGAGTGGTGGCTAATGAGAGATGATAGAGGTTTAGTGTAGAGGATGAAAAGGACCGGCCCAAGGACCGATCCTTGAGGAACTCCAATAGACAGGGCTGAAGGTTTGGAAG